CTTATAATTTTCCGAATATAGTTTTGTTTTCGTGGGCTTCACAAATGTACCAGGCGTTCAAAATTTCATCAGAAAAGAGTCTGGGCACTAGCATTACTGGTCACCCTGTGCCTTACCAGATCACGTGACAAATTCCAATATGGCGTATGATACAAGTGGGACGTAAAGCGCGCGAGAACGAAAAAGTCTAAAAAGATCTTTCCTTCTGTTGGTACTGCCTTCTGTACTTCTTAACTAAGATAAAAACGGAGTTTTGCATAAAAAACAAACACAATAACCTAAATATATGTAAAATTTCCGAAAGTTTACGTTCCTGTGATGACGTCATCCCGCATAATTTTCCGTATAATTCACCCTTTTCTCCTAAAAAATTCCGCATAATTTTGATTTTTTTCGCGCATAATTCCGACATGCCTGGCATAAGCATGAGCACAAGAAAAGCAAGCAAGGCTTGATCTTCTTGTGCTTATCTCATGCTTATCTCATGCTTATGCTCAGTGAGAATGGGACTGCATAGGCATAAGCATAGCCTGGTACCGAAATAATACGCTCGTGCGCATGCTCAATGTCTTATGCTTATGTCGAGCCTGTTCTCACTGGCGCATATGATTCTCATGCTTGTGCTTATGCTATGCTTATGCGCTAGTGAAATCCACGCTTAAAGAAGCAATCGATATGACAATCTTTAGTTGACTTTATTTTCCGATTGTTTTCTTTCAGATGTAAAAGGCTATTTTTGCAAAGAAATTTTATCTCTAACTTAAAGGTTTGTTTTCTTGCACTCTTGATTGGAAGAAAAGAATGATTTTTGCTACGAGTAATTAATAAAATTTGTATGTCCTCTTATTGAAATTCTCTTGATGCCATAAAATGGTCAAAACTTTCCAGCAATCTACTTGGATGAGTTTTGAAAATTGTATGACGTCAAGTGTGATTTCATATTAGAGGACATACGTGTACAACTCAAAACCATGTATAATTTGTTCATTTTTCTTCTCTCCGGACCCTCTCTGTTTGCATTTACTTGTTATTACAAATTGTTACAAATTTTAGGTATTTTTTTCAAATATATTCTTATTGTGCTTGCAGAAACTTCCAAAGCTGCCAATACTGGAACATTTATCTYTACAACAAAATGGTATCGAAAGCTTGGATGGTTTGGAAGTTCTTCTAAATACACCAATCAAATCCTTAATTTTGAAGGGAAATCCTGTAGAAYTGTTACCCAATTATCGCCAGCAGTAAGTAACATATACCTTAGATATATATATTTTATTTATTACACAATTATTGTGCCTCATTGCTAAGGATACACAGTACTTGTGCAGTTGTCTTCTGTGTGTACAATAAATTATTAGTTATGATTTGTTGCCATGGAAACATAATATGGTTAGTGACACCTTAATTTTTCTCCTTTTTCAGGGTTTTTCGAAYTCTTCCAAATCTCARRATCCTTGATGGAACTCCGAAACTTGAAAGTGATGTAGACGATTCTCTGATGGAGACAGTAACGAAAACATGCATTGTATCATAGCATTCAAGAGTTTTAGAAACAAGGAAATTTATAGAAATAAGAAAATTTATATATATTTTTTATATTTAAATTTGGACATGATTTTTTACTCCATATAAAATAATATAGATATAGAACTGCCCAAGCTAAATATAAGGTGTCTGTGGAATAAGCTTCAAAATATTGTTTTGCAAGCACTGTATCTTTTTCCATGTTTGTTTTTGAAAGTATATACAGTCAATCTAAATAACTTTGTTCAATTCTTCCTACAAATGTGAAAAAAYAATTTTATAAATGTATGATTTTGTTGTTGTTGTTGTTGTCTTTCTGTCTTTACAATTGAACAACGTTAATGGAATTGACTGTATCTTAATTAGCTTTTGCAAACACATGACCTGTAGAAAAATAATTAAACTCAAAAATAGCAAAGTTAGTGTTATTACTTCTTTTAAGCCAAAGTACTTTTAATCACAAGATATCCATTTGTAAATAAGAATTTGTATAAACAAAATGTATTTAATCATCAATATTGTAAATAAAAACAATTCGTCTATAATAATCCTGTGGTGGCTATTTGCATAACTAACATAGCCATGTACGTCAACGCCATTGCTACACGTGCGTCACGCCATAACACGTGCTTTTAAATGGCTATGTACCTGAGGTCAAAATTATGTCTAACTATCATAAAATGGTCAGCTTTTCCAGCTTTATTGACAATGGAATTACTAAAATATACACTAACAAGAAAGAATACATTTCCAATGTTTCATTGATTGATTTTAGTCGCAACTTTACTTTAGTAGCAAAGAAAAAGGAGCGTTGCGTGACATTGCGTTAGCCACGTTCTGAAAGTGATAAATTTGTCACGCGAGCTTATCTAAAAGATTTGTGAAATATTTTGATTGGTTTTAATCTCTCATAATGCAAGTTGCCTTTTTGGGCTTACATGATAAAAGAAATCATGATTTTGAGCCGATCAAATCCACAATTCTTCGCAGTCTTTCGTATTTCGCTCTCTTCTATGAAATCCTTTCGAACAACCTCTGAGGAACCCGCTGAAGAACTCACGTCTGTAGAAATATTTTAGTCAAGTTTTTTTTAAAACGTATAAATCTACATAATTGGTTTCATCTTTCATTGCTGTGATGTCCTTGGACTGCCAATTTTGATGTCACGTTATCACTTCAGCTGGAAGCCATGGTAACCAATGAGGACCATCAGTAGGGTTCAGAGGTAGGTACATGAGGTGTTGCTATCCCCATGCCCCAGTGATATAACTCATGAGGATCATACCATACCGTTCATCATGTTCCTCACTGTGCCCCGAAGGGCGCAGGTAAGGATCACCCTAACTGATGATAAACCAMACAATTGCCTTCAGTCAGYSTTTACGCTTAGATATTTTTCYGCTCAATGTGGGACTATTRAACATTCTCAGTACCAGAGAAAAAACAACGATCTTAAAAAGATATGACTTAACTCGAAAAAATTGTAGTTATATTTGACGCCCTGACTAAAGATAAGATAAGTTGTAAACGGAAAGAAAAATTAAACAACACGCATGCGCAGTCGAGTAAAACAAAGGCTTTTTATTTTGTTAAAAGTTGCAATAGATATTTCTTTAAAAACACTTTTAACTGAAACAGAAAACTCAGCGAAAGAAGCTTAGCTGTAAATTATATTCTTTCCTATGTTCTAAGCTTTTAATCTGACAAAAAAATAATTAACTTAATATGCCATTTTATCTGGAAACATTTCTTTGTAAGTCACAGGATCCAATTACTCCGAACAACTAATGAATGGTCAAAAATACCACATACAACTTGCAAACAATGCTATTTTGTAGTTACAACTGACATTCCAAATCAAAACAACTGACAAATTACTTTCTTTGCTACTGTATGGTAAGTCAGTCCGGAAGGATATTGGCGCGCGGCTTCACGTAGCTCCTCGCCATGTTTTCCAAAGATTAACCATCGCTTGTCGCACATCTTTAACCTTCCAGCAGTACAACACAGGATTAAACGAGCTGCTGACAAACTGTAGTGACATCGTAATAAAGAAAACGTTAAGCAGTTCGGGTCCACGGTCAAAATTCGACGCTAACAGCGTGTACACTACGCAAGCGGGAATATAACACGCAAGGGAAACCCCTATTACGTAGCCCATCGTCACTGCCAAATTTATCTGCGAAGCACTGGTAGTTTCAGCAAGGTTATTTCCGCCGGAAGTTGATTGTAAATGTATAATTTCATTACGATGCCGCTGTACAAGAAAGTACACTCTAATGTATATTCCGACTATAAGGCTACACCCAACTGTCCATACAATAATCGCAACGAGTCCACGGAAGTCGTTCACGTAKCGCGTTACGTAGCCAAAGAGAGCTAACATGTCGATGAGAAACCAAAAAATCCATATYACAAAAATWGTTATTTGWATTCTTTCTTTRGTGACYAATTCATTGTACCTCAAGTGCAYGAATAACGCTAAATAYCTCTCAATGCTGATTGCAGCCATTGTCGATCCCGATACGCAAGCAATCATATGCGCAACGAAGGTGAAGGTGTCGATAAAAGCACAGCTTTCATACAAAACTGCCTCATTAACAAATGCACACATYAARGGCTGTACCAGAACCCCGATMAGCAGATCAGCAAAAGCCAACGAACCAATCAAGATGTTTGATGGTCGAATAAGCGAGGGTGTCTTGCAGAGAACCAACAAGAAGAGTCCGTTACCAAGAAACGATAAAGGTGCGGTGACAACGTTTAATGCCATGACAGTGGTGTAAGTATACTTGAAACTTTCCAGGCGAATAAACGCTGGATTTATTTGTCCGTTTGGCCAAAAGTATGATCTACACCTCGAGTTATTCATTCTCCGAATTTTAAAGTTACCAAAATTCCCTCGTCAGAAGCAAATTCTGTTTGATCTCTCACACTGTAATTCTTAATTTTCAGAGATCTCTCTTTTTTTAACCAGCTCTTGGTCGCGGACTGAACAGCTTGTTGAACGGCTGCTATTATCAGCAATTGATGGCGGTGAACTTGGTTATTCAATTCGGCACCTTTATACAACTTAGCTCAAGAGGTTAAGAAAAGTGCGAGCACTGTCTGAAAACCTACTATACTTTTGATGCCCGAGTGTTTATGCACTAAGCCCACACACTTGCACCACGGTCGTGGTACAGCTGACGCAAAATGTAGTTCTCTTAGTCGTGATTGGTTGGTTTTACGTTTGTCATGCGCAATAGTGAGAATTTTGATTGCGGTGAAGGCTCAGGGTGCCGTGTAATGAACTGTTCAAACAACAAAATTTACAAAGAAATACAACACGAATTATACCATTGTTTTCATCAACTTTGACTTACACCTGCGCTACTGATCAAAATTTATTAAGACGCAATCCAGTTTAATGAGGAAGAATCTGAAAGAAAAGTGCTTTATAATGACGGAAATATGATACGTGTAGCTATCCGGCTATTAATTTTTCTTTGGTTTGTTTTGTTCTATATTTAATCTTTCTCTTTTGGGGGCATAGTCCACGGAGGCTTACTTTGATCTATTAATTTTTTTAAATTTCAGACTCATATCTCTTTTTGTTTTAAAATACATAGTGATATGAGCCTGCAAATTGTAAAGTTAAGTGCCATGCTAACCGAACAATATATTCTCCTTCAAATGATTGATATATTAATGGCCACTTGCAAGAATTTCTATCCAAGAACAATATTCTCTTCCTGTTTTCAATTTAACTCGAGGTCGTGATTATGATCATATATAGTTTCTTTTAAAGTTCCATGCTCAACCGGCATTCAATGCGGTCGTAC